TCTCTCCGCCGGTGACCGGGTCAACATGCCATGCCACCATGACTCCTTCCGCGCTTATCCCGCGCGTCTCCTGACTGTCCTCCAGTGGGCGTCCCCAAGTCAGCCATTGGATGGACGGCAGGTGGTCCCTCTCTCCTTCGGGTATACTCCGGGGTGGCTCCATCGATGGCGGACAATGGGAACTCGTCGTTTTTCGCCATGGACGGCAATCAGATGAACCTGAAAGACAAGGTTTTGTCTGTCAAGATTCCCACAGACGGCGCCAATTGTACGGGGAGCAAATATTCCGGCGTGCCCGTATTCCTTTCTTCCGAGCTCCGTCGATATTCGATCACCTGCGAGCAAATAATGATGAGCTACCCGGCGGTGTGTGGCCGGAAACACCCTCCGACGGTCAAATTAGCACACACCTTAGAGGGAATAGAGAGAAGGGAGAGAGTGTCTGAGTGTAAGAAATTCCTTACAGAGTATTCGTCTGTCGCGTATGGGGGGCGCAGACATGCTTATATACCTTCTGAGCCCCATATCCACTCCCTGTCATCTCCTGACACGTGGCTCTGCTATCCCATCTGTCAGCATAAACCATGCCGTTCATCACTTGCTCTCAACTACCTGTCAGCATAGCTGGAGCTCGGCAGCCGAGCTGCCCTACCTCGGTCATACCATGCTATGATTGACTGACACCGACCTAACGTCACACATGATTAAGAGATGTTGTATATTTTGTGGCTATGTGATAACATGGTTATATGACTAAATGGGTATGGGGCTGGACTTTTGGGTTATGGTTCATGCCTATTAAATTTTTTGAGGTCTTATTAGAAGGGTACTTGATCAATACTCGTTCTACTAAGAAATCTTGGTATTTCGTGGGACGAATTTCATCATAAAGGAATAATTAGTATGTATTTATGTGACCAAGTCTTCGGACCGGGCACCCTGGTCCGACCGAGCACTGCCTTACCGAGCAGTTTCTGTCCGGTCCGGGGTGACACTCAGCCCGTACTCTGCCCGGCCCAAATTCTGGCAGCCCACTTTGGGTAAAAAGTCGATCGTCTCGGACCTATGCGCCGTTGGGCCCTCAACTTGCTCGGTCGATATCTCGACCCAACTCCAGATCATAAATTACCCTCTCAAGTTCTATCAAATATTTTATATGGGTGTCGGACTTACATGAAACTCATATTGTATGGGTTCCACACTCATGTGAGACATTTGATAAAAATTTTAATAAAATTTTTAAAATCTCTAACATTGCTCAATATAAAAAGCCATCAATTCCAGTGTCTCAAATTTGGAGGCCTAGCTAATTAAAAGTCTTTTAGCCTAGTGCTTATGAGTTGGTTTGGGGTGTGAGTTGGTTTTTAGTTTTTTAGTTTTTTTAGCTTGTGGTTAAAAATTTTCATTTGAGATAGGTTTTTTAATTTTTTTTTGACTTTTGTAAAAAAAAAAAAAAAAGTTGTGTTTGGTTTGATTCTCAAACCATGATTCCATACTAATAATTAACCATCTGTTTGATTACAGTTTTCAAATCATGATTCCAAATCAATTTGAAAACATATTTGGTAAATCAGAGAGTTTTTAAATTTTGGGTCTACTCGGCCATCCGCCCAGACATCCTCCTAGACAATTTTTTAATTTTTGGGTCTACCCAGTTATCCCCCCAGACTTCCAGCTGGTTGACTAGAACATTTTTTTTAATTTTTTTTTAAAGCAACTGGCATTTATTATCTGAAAAAAAATTATATTTGTTTTTGATATTTTTTTAAATATAGAAAATATTTTTTTGAGACCAAAATGACAAATTATTTGGACATTTATTTAAAATTAACAAAAAAAATTAAATAAAAATTAATTTGTCACAGTAATTTTTTTTTTAAAAAAAAAATTTTAAACAAAACAATTAAAAAAATTTCCCAACCAAATATGCAATCAAAAGTAATTTTAAAGCTCTAGTTCAATATTTTTGTTAACAAATAATAATATATTTTTTAATATTTTAAATAAAAAATATTTTTAGAATTTTTTAAAATTTTAAAATAAAAAAATTATTTTTTTCAATAATTATTTTTTGTGAATTGAATTTTAAAAAGAGTTTGGCTATGAGATTTGAATAAAATTTTCAATAGACTTTTGAGTTGTGTGTTTGGTATGAGTTATAAGTTTTTAAATTAAGTTTTGAAAACTCTTTTCAAAATTTAAAATCAAATAATTTTTCATAAACTCAAAATTCATTTCAAAAATTCAACACTCAATTCAAAACTCTTTTCAAAATTCATAACTAAACAAGTTTTTTATTTTAAATCATAATCACAAAACTCACAAGTTTAAAATACAACTATACATTCAAATCATAATTCTAAACACAAACCAAACGCTATCAAAATGATTATAGTTTGAATGTGACATTTAATCTTATTAACTTTTTTATTTTTATTTATTTTTTTTTGACTAAAATACCCTTTTAACCCCAAAATTTTGTATGCCAAATGAGTGCTATGTGGCACCACTTTATGTCTTAAGATCTAGAATTTAACTTATATAAAGAAGAATTTGATATTTGATATTCTTTGTAGTATACTTTGCTTGGTTCTTTTTTTTCAAAAACACTTTTCAGAAAATTCTATCTTCTTGTTTTTTTTTGTTTTTTTTATTTTTATTGAATTTTTTTAATATTTTAAGTAATTTTTTTTTGCTTTTTAGACATACCTAACATAAATATATTTAAAAAGTAAAAAAATTGTGAAAAAAACTTTTTAAAAATTCACTAAATACCAAAAATATAAAAAAAATACAAGAATTAATACATTTTTTGTATTTTTATGTATTTATTAATTTTTTAAAATATTTTTTACTTTTTAGATACATCTAAGTAAGGTGCATCTAAAAAAGTAAAAAAAAATGTTTAAAATTTTAAAAATATTCACTAAAAAAAAAACAAGAAAACCAAAAAGCTCAATTTTCAAAAAACTTAATCCAAAAAACTCAAACCAAACACACTTTGTATAGCTAGTATGCCTTCCGCTTAGACTTTGATTTGGTTATTATTAACTTTTTAATTATTGTTTAGCTAATAATCTATTGGGAAAATCGGTCTAAGGTCCCTCTCCCACTTTTCGTAATGGAAGAAGTCCACAAAATTATTTTTTGATGTCTAAGGTCCTAAACATATATCAGACAAATTTCAGTCAAACCCATTGACACCCCTCTCTCTTTCTCCCTGTTGGACGATTTTTTCTCGATTATTTTCAACAACTCGAAGATCGATCGACTGTGAAATTCTCTATCGAAGTTTTTGATTATCGCTTTGCCAATGCATAACTGAGAGAGAGGGAGAGAGTAATGGAAAACGGTACATCAAAGAATGGTGTGTGCTCGTCGGAATCGATCAATGGAGCACAAGATGTTTGGAGTTGTAACCAATCTCTTGCTTCTTCCGCTGATCATCTTGTCGTCATGGTTCATGGAATTCTCGGAAGGTCTTTAGTTTTTCATTCTGAATTCTTTTGATTTAATTCTGGATCTGATAATTGTTTATGTACTATTATTATTATTATTTATGTTTACTTGTTTTGTAATCAGCAATTAATTTCTTAAACTTGGTGATTCAGAGTTCAGATTGTAAATTCTGGATATTGAAGCCTTTTTCTTTGAATTCCTCGGATGTAGGTTAAAAAATATAAAATTTGTTCTTCTCAATACATTTGCTCCTTTACTAATACTTAATTTAGAGGGCAATTTTCCATTTTCAGTGATTAGTAGATGAGATTCATAAGAATTCAGCTTTATTTTTTTTGTTAATTTTTTTTTTTACCCTCATCTCTTGATATTGCAGATAGTGTGCAATTGGGTGTTTTTAAGAGATTGTGTTGATATTTTTTTTTTATCTCCCATGCTGAAGTGAGTAGATTTCTTCATAATTTTGTGTATTTTGTAGAATCAATTGTTAATGTCTCCCCAGTTAAACATATTCTTTTGCTTTCGAATGTCTACTACTTGCTGTTTCAGTTATTTGCAGTGTATGTTACTGAAAATTGTTTGATGATAATGAAAATGATTGCATTCTTTTTCAAGTTTGATAGGCGTTCTTTTAGTATTTCCTTGACTATCTCTGCAAAAATTAGGACACTAGCAAATAAGAATAAGAAATTATCAAGACAAACCAGATAATTTCTCTGGATCAACCCAATTGAATTTCTCTGGGTTGAAGTGTCCAGAGAAATTTCAAAGACCAAAAACATAATTTCTCTGGGTTGTTGTTGTTGTTGTTTTTTTTTTTTTTTTTTTTGGTGATGTCGTTAACATTACAAGAAATTGGAATCATTTGATTGCCATTAACCAGAGGTATTTTCCAGTCTCTGACAAGCCAAAGAAATTCTCAGATTTTTCCAGAATTTCTCTGGTTCTGGTAAGTTGCCATTGTTATCCCATTCTAATGTTGCTTACATATTACAATGTGGAATTTTTCCAGTTGAATTTAGTTGAACAATGTTGCTTACCTAATGAATCACAATGATTTGGATGTGAATGAGAAGAAAAGTAGAGAAACTCATCCAGAGAAATTTGGTCCAGTGAAATTTCTCTGGGCCAGAATTTCTCTGACCAATTTTCTCTGCACTGAAATTTCTCTGGACCAATTTTCTCTTGTTCCAGTTGAATTCAGTTGAACAATGTTGCTTACCTAATGAATCACAATGATTTGGATGTGAATGAGAAGAAAAGTAGAGAAACTCATCCAGAGAAATTTGATCCAGTGAAATTTCTCTGGGCCAGAATTTCTCTGACCAATTTTCTCTGCACTGAAATTTCTCTGGACCAAATTTCTCTAAACCAATTTTCTCTGGTTCCAGTTGAATTCAGTTGAACAATGTTGCTTACCTAATGAATCACAATGATTTGGATGTGAATGAGAAGAAAAGTAGAGAAACTCATCCAGAGAAATTTGGTCCAGTGAAATTTCTCTGGGCCAGAATTTCTCTGACCAATTTTCTCTGCACTGAAATTTCTCTGGACCAAATTTCTCTGGACCAATTTTCTCTGGACTGAAATTTCTCTGGACTGAAATTTCTCTGGATCAAGGTTGAGGGACCTTAGACATTATGAAAATATTGTTGAGGGACCTTAGACATTATAAAAATATTTGATGTCCTTTATGCTATAAAATCATAATACCAGGAACCTTAAAAAAAAAAAACCCCTAATCTATTTAATATAATATTTTTCGTATTTATAATTAGCAGCTTGTTTTGTGTGGATTGGAGTATGATAGTTGGGTATGTGGAGTCCATTACATATTCCATCTTGATGATTTAAAATCATTTATTTTTTAAATCATAATGAGTAAATCATTCATGAAAAAAAAAATCAAATCAATCTGATAATTATAACTATATTATTTTATTATATTTTCTTTTCAACGAATGAATAATTTAATTTTCAAATAATTACATGTCTCACAACGCAAGATGAGTTAAATAATGATAATAATAATTAAAATTGCCAGCATGGTAATAAACAAAAAGAAAATGTCGGCCTACATCTTTTAAGAAGTTCGCAACTAATTAAAACATCTTATGCAAATATTCGAACTGTCCAATTCAGACGGATATGATTATAAAATTGGATCGGCATTGCCAAAAGCTTCTATTTTTTATATTCTGGAAGGTATACGCCAAAGACAACTCTCAAAACGACAGCACACGTCTCATTAGACTTTTTATTTATTTATTTATTTTACAATCTCTTAAAAATCGGTTGATTAATTAGTTTTAAAAAAATAATGTTTTACTAAAAATGTCTAATTTTGTCACTGATTGTGGGCTAAGCCATATAATATTTAATGAAAATACTATAAAAATAATTTGTTTTTTACAAACAGGCTGGTAACTGATTAAAATTAAATAATTTACTTTCTTCTACACCAATTTCCTTTGTAGTAGTTTTTTTTTTTTTTTTATAAAAAAAAAAAATTTAATTTAGCTGCTACAAAAGTAATTACAAATATAAAAATTATTATATCAAACTGACCACTAACCCAATAATAGCAATTACATACAACCTCATAATAAAAAGAAATAAACACCATAAACAATCTCATACCACAAAGTGGAGTTATACAACCACTAGGTCAAATACCTTATTTCCTTTCCAATTCATGCCAAACTTATAGTTGATTATAAATCCCATTAATCTAATCAATTTACTAATCAATTCATGGCAAATCAATAATTAGCTAATTAATTCCCATTTAAAAAAAAAAAAGAAAAGCAAATCAATTCATGCCAAATCAAGAACCAGCTAATTAATGCAAGCCAAACCAATAATTAGCTAATCAATTCATGCCAATTAAATATTTGATTAGGTAATTGTTATTATTTGAGTAGAAAGCACTATTGTCGCAAATAATATGCCTTCGGTTATGAGGGATGTGATTCAAGTTAAGAGGAAAATGGTGTTGATTATCCCTCAAAATGGTCAAAATTATGCAGAAAATAGTGTCGGTTATGTATGAAAGGTGGTTGAGGGTATGAGGATAACGGTGCTGATTATGCTAAAACTGGTGTGGTTATGAGATAAATAATGGGTCATAATTTAGTGATGAGAAAAATAGTGTTAATTATGTTTCAGAGATGTGGTCAATATGAAATTAATCTATGGGTACACCAATAAGATCATAACAATTTTTTTAAAGTTAATATTAAACATAAAAAAAATTCATTACAAAAAACTTATAATCGTTTTTTTTTTTTTCTTTTTTTCTTTTTTAAGAATCGTTTTGGAAAATGACTATTTTACTTAATTTTTTAATTTTTAAAAAAAGAAGTACAAAAAAAAATTTGATTTTTTGGTAGGAAGTTTTTGACTATTTTACACCTTAAGGCCTCGTTTGGAAACAGGTTTTTTAGTAATTTTTTGACTTTTTAATTAAAATATGATATAAAAAAAGTTAGTATATTTGAGATGATTTTTTAGTTTTTTACAAAAAGATATACAAAAAGAATAGAGAAAAAAAAACTTTGACTTTTTTGTTTAGGCTGTTGGCTTTTTGATTTTTTTTAGTGGCTTTTTGACTTTTATACTAAAAAATAATGTTGCCAAACGAGGCCTAAGTTATGACTAAACTAATTAAATATATTATGCTATTGAAAGTAACTAATATCAAAATTAAACTAACGAGATTAGTTCGATTGGTTGTAACTCTTATATTTCATTCGGAGATGAGTAGTTCGAATCTCTCTATCTGTATGTAGATTTTATTCACCACATATCAATTGGAAGTTTCTTTATAAAAAAAATTTATATTTTATTTTTTCTTCATTACTATTATTATAATTCATTGAGTTTTATTATTATCTTTTATATGAATCGAATTTATCCCCCCAAAAAAAAAAACTAATATCAAAATAATATTGTTTAACATTTTGACGTGGCGCAATCTAGGCAACTCATTTTTGGAGTGCATGTCGTCCATTCACTTTTAGAATGCCGAACGTGTGAACTTTGTCAAATGACAACGTGTCAGACTAGTGAGGAAGGATAAGGGGTTGTTTAGGATGACCTAAATAAGTGTATTTTTTATTTTTTTTATGAAAAGATATGTAGAAAAATAAAAAGATGATGTAAAAATAAAAAGATGAATTATTTGGGACTTCCCAAACTTAACCTAAAAGTAGTGGGATTATTGAGTGGTCACAAAGGACATGAGTTCGTTATATACGCAAACCACGAATCCACCATAGGGGTCAAAGCAAGCAACTTGGCCCTCCTCTTCAAAAACCCAAAAATGTCCATTTCTCAAAAGAGTTGCTCACATGCTAATGTTGGGGAATTTAAATTATCCCCAATCACATGCTAAATCAGGTGTCGATAAACTTAGGGTTCTTTTAAAAAGTCTCTTATAAGTTGATTTTTTTGACTTAGGGGTTGTTTGGAATGAACTATATAAGTGTATTTTTTGATTTTTTGGATGAAAAAATAGAGGAAAAAAAATGATGATTTGGAATAACTTTTTGACTTTTTACGAAAAAATATATATTAAAATATTATATAAAATAACAAAATTACGAAATTATCCTCCCTAACACAATCAGCATTATTGCGCTGACTTTCTATCCCTTTTCAAAAATTTTTTTTTAATGGGAATGTGTGGCTTCAAGTGTGCCACGTTTTCTTTTTTTATTTTTATTTTTTATGGAAAGTTGTGGTTGTACAGTTTTGTTGCAGCACTGTTTTTTTTTTTTCTTTTCATCTAACAGATTTCTCGCCAAAATAAAGGTAAGTAGTATGAACTTTTTTACTTTTTTAATAATTTTTTGACTTTTTAACTTTTATAGGTGATGCCAAATCAGCCCTTATTATAAAAAAAAAATATGCAAAAAAGTAAAAAAATGTTATGAATCAAATAAACCAATAAACTTACTTATAAGCTTGTTCCTAAGCAGGGCCTTAGTTATAGAGGATATAGTTTTTATAGAATCTATGGAGCACATTAATTATATATAATATTAAATTGATTAAACATTAGTTGTCAACTTGTCATATGTCTGGTTTTTATTTATATTAAAAAATTAAATCATTTACTTTTTAAATTATACTTGTCGTTTACTTTTTTTTAACAGAAATGTGATTCAATCGGATAGTTATAAATGTTTAATCAATTTAATTTTTTACATGAATAATTTATTAGATTTACATTGAACGATTCAAATTCACCGAGAGAGGCCCAAGGTGAGCCCAAAGCTATGAGAACAGGACCATCCAGTCTAAAAAAGAAGTCTCTGATTGTTTTTGTTAAAAAAATAAAATAAAATTTAAACAATTGATCTGTCATACTAGATCATTACCAAGCTATTTTCATAGTAGTCAAATTGGAGTGTTTCAATCGACTAGGGCTTACGAAACTCGTACAAAGTCATTGTCAAATCACAAGGAGGCGAGCTAGTAATAAATAAAAATATTAGATTCATATCAACTGATAGAGCCAAATAATCATCGATCCGCAATGTATTTTAATCACAACAAAGCTTGGCTGGAAAAAAAAAACATTTCAAAATTTCGATCAAATTACGAAAGTCAGGCCCAATCTTTTCAAGTATAGATCAATGAATTTCTTGGTTTGGACAAGTTGGGCTGCCAAAAGTTTCCCCGCACTGCCTATCCTCTTCAATTGGAGTTTTTTTATTTTATTTTATTTTTAATTTTAAATTTATTGGTTGAGACAAGGATTCTTGAGATGGAGAGTTTATGACTTTGTTTGGTTTGATTTTTAAAATTAGTATTTTGAAATTTTAAAAAATAAATAATTTGGTATAAAAAAATGCAAAAAAAAAAAAAAGAACTAGAGGATGTGTGGTTTCGTGCTCTCCCAGTTGGACTATCTTAGAGCTATGCTATAATATGTTCTTCTTCTTTCTTTCTTTCTTTTTTTTTTTTTCATTATTTAAAATTTGTAAAAATCAGGTCTTCTTACTACACAATCCATGTCGTTCCATTTGAATCAAAAATAAAAAAATAAAAAATCCGTGTTGTTCCATTATCATATTGCTCTCATTTGAAGTCAATTGACACTCAAAATTGATGCTAAAAAAAAATGAATAAATAAAGGACCCTTGAAATTGTTTAAAATTGCACCATTTTGCATCTGTTTCATTTTTTCTTTTTTATTATTATTATTTTTTTCTCTTCTACAAGTTAGAGATTAGTATGTTAGTGAGTAGTTAATACATATCAATGTCTCTTTATAGACTTAAACATAAAACCTCACTTATCATAACACCTAAGCCTACATTTGGCAAGATGGGTTTGGAACTTTTTTGGTTAAAATAGCCACAAAAAACAAATAGGATTTTTAATTTAATAAAATAAAATATCACATCCAACCTATAATCATTACATTCTTTCTCTCACAAAAAAGTTAAAAAAGTCAAAAGTCCTTCTAAAACTAGGCTTTTTAGCCCTGGATTAAAATAGTCAAAAAAAATTAAAAAATCAAAAAATTAACCCACATCCCAAACGAAGCCTAAATATTCTTTGTATGATCACTTAGGCAAGAGCCGTGGTCCATTGACTGCCGAACCACCTCGATTGTGAGTGTTCCTAAGCGCCATCACATGCTTTTCCTAACTTGGAAGTCATAAATAAAAGGACAAATTACATATATCTATCTTGAGGTTTGACTAAATTATAAATATCTCTTTTAAGTTTTAAAAATTACATTCCGTCCTCTAAGGTTTGTATTTTCATAACAATTTGTCTCCTGAGATTTAAATTTCATAGCAAATTACCCCTTAATTTGTTATGCAAATATAGCATACAGGGATGAATTTGTAATTTCTCAAATCTCAGGAGGTATTTGTAATTTAGCCAAATCTCGAGGGGGTTATATGTAATTTGTCCTAAATAAAATTGGAAAGTAGCTATCACTCTGTTAAAAGTCACTGATCGAAAAATTTTAGACTCACAAATTTAATACAATGGTATGATAAGAGAGTTAAATTTTTATATAGTAGTTGAATTGAATGTATAATAAATTAAAAATTAATATTTGTCACGCCACATCATTATGAATTAAATTAAGAATTTTCTTATAAATTTTTTTATAACAGACTTCAAATAATTTTCATTGATTGAATTAGCCATTTAATAGGAAGTGTTCTTTCTTTTCTAAGTAAACAAAGAGATTTTCTAATATAGTTGTTTAAAGTGTACAAAATTTGATAATAGAATCATACACAAATTTTTGATTTAAAGTGAGATCCACACATTTAATAGGCCTCTCACTCTATATAGAAGAATCAAATTTTACAATTAAATTCTGTACATTTAATTTTAAATATCACGTGGTATCAATAGATATTTGGAAGTTGATGAGGCATCACTGACCTTTCATTTTTATTAGATTATTAGAGCATTTCCATACAAACCTTCAAAATTTGACGCATCAAATTTTTTTAAAGGCTTAGATAGTAAATTGGCATATATTAATTGGACATAGAAATTTTTCATTAGATATGTCAAATCTATTATTTTATTATTTTTAAAAAATGAAATTATTTTATTAGGTGGATTCAACATTTAACATCTTGACATGTTGAGTTTATGTCAAATGCTAACTTAACATTCGGTATATCGGATAAAATTGATACTTAATGCTAGAATATAACTATTAAAATGTCACATCAAATTTGAAGTATTGGATAAAAGTTCTCTTACTAATTAGTCCTTTTCCCATTTAATTTTCTATATTTAAGCTAAAACGTCAACTCCAAAGAAAAACACTCACTCTGTTTGATTTTAGATTTTAGTTTTCAGAATTTACTTTTCAAATTTTTTTTTCGTATTTTTTTTGTTTTCACTGAATTTTTTTAATAAGTAATTTTTTAATTTTTAAGACACACCTAATATAAATATGCTTAAAAAATTTAATATTTGTATAAAAAAAATCTGTAAAAATTTCACTAAATACCAAAAATATTATTAAAAAAATATAAAAATTCAGTATATTTTTTAATTTTTTTTTGTATTTATTAATTTTCAAAATATTTTTTTCACAAACATTAGACTATTTAGATACATCTAATCAAGGCGCATCTAACAAAGTAAAAAAATTACTTAAAATTTTAAAAATATTCACTAAAAATAAGAAATAAAAATGAAAAACAAAAAACTTGATTTTCAGAAAATTAAAACCAAAAAAACTTGTGTCCTTACGGAGAGAAACCAAAAAATTAAAACCAAAAAAACCTGTGTCCTTACGGAAAAAAACCTTTTCTTTTCATTTTTTTTTTTGTTGATAGTACTACCTATAATAAAACATAGATATAATAATAATAATAATAATAATAATAATAATAATTGTCGTGATCTAAGATATTCAATTTATTGGGCCCGCGACGGTCCACAAAGCTTTTTTTTATTTGATAAATGATCTATAAGTCTATTTTGTAGATTAATTATTTAACCTTAATGATATGTTAATTATATAATTAATTAATAATTAAAGAATATATGAGTGAGAATGTTACATCCTTTAATATCCTAATTGATTACCACATCATTAGGCTTGAATTGAATCTAATTTTTTTAACAAAATGTTATTTTTATTTTTATTTTAAGGTGATCCTATTTCCTCTTATTATGAAATAAACACGCATATTTTATTGGGAGATTTACCAATAAATCTCAAAATGTAAACTTATGAACCAATTGGTCCCATTTTTATTCTAATAAACCGTTTAGTCCTGAAAAATTCTGAGAGACGTAATTACCCTCATTTAGACACCACTCATCTCTCTCAACATTCTCTCTCCTCCAGCCACACACATATCTTCTCTCTCTAGCAGACACAAGACACCATGCACACAAAACACCATTAACACACACACCCAGCAGCCACACTCATACACACCATACACACAACACACACACACACACAGCACATACCAAACCCAGCTCTCTCTTATCTCTCTAAGACACACCCAGCGCATAACACACACACACTGATACACGCACACAACACACACACACACTGATGGCTTCAACACACACCCACACCCACACACACTGATACACGCACACACACACACACGCACACTGATACACGCACACACACACACACTGATACAAACACACAACAGTGTCACACAGCCACGGCCACCATCTCCGTCACCAAACACCCCAAAGCCCATACGTCCGCAGCCGCCTCCTGCTGTCCGGCCACCACTGTCTCCGGCGGCATATACATCGGCGTACCTCTCAACTCAAAACCCACGATCTTCTCTCCCGATTTCTTTTCCAAACCAAAATCCGCGATCTTCGCGACATCGTTTTGACATAGAAGAACGTTTTGAAGCTTGAGATCACAGTGAACAAACCCATTCTCGTGAATACATTGAAGGCTCTGACTCTTGGATATTCATAACTTCACTGTTTCGAAGCTTCCATGGCCGAGTAAATCGCCTCGAACCCACTCCATAGGAGCGAAAATCAGATTGAATTTTGGGTTTTGCCTTGCCTTGCCTTGCTTGTGGTCTCACTCTGTCACAACTAACTCTGTTTTGGGGATTGGTATATATACATATATATATATATATATAAGATCTTGATATTGGTGGCAAAAAACATAACAAATATGGGTAAAATCGTCCACAGTTACACTAAATATGGAAAATAGGATCAGCAAAAAACAAACTTCCCCACTGATAGGACTTATCCGAACAAAAGAATAAAGTTGGGACTAATTGGTTTAATAGTTTGTGAAATGGGATTTATTGGTAAATTTCCCTATTTTATTATATTTATGAGATAATAACTTTGACATTGTGGTGGCCATATTTTTGCATAACATAAATGCCATATATTCAAAAAGATACTTAGAAAAATAGTCATAATTTTGAATATATATTACAGATTTAAATTTGGTGATTTATGCTCAGAAAACTTGTTTGGCTAGGGGTTTTTGGCTAAAAAGTTCGAAATGTAAAATATGCTAAATATGTCAATAAGATAAAATATCACGCTCAAATTATAATCATTTTATTTTTTCTCTCACAAAAGTTAGAAAAACCAAAAAAGCTAAACCAAACAAACTTTTAGTCCAAAGATAAAATAGTTAAAAAGTCAAAAAACCAATTAAAAAAATCAATTTCCAAATGGCAACTAAGGCCTCATTTGGCAACATCACTTTTTAGCCTAAAGTCAAAAAAATTACTAAAAAAAAATCAAAAAGCTAACAACCTATACAAAAAAGTCAAAAATTCTCTTTTTTCTCTACTTTTTGCACGTTTTTTTCGTAAAAAACTAAAAAATTATCCCAAACATATTTAATTAAAAAGTTAAAAAGTTACTAAAAAAAATTAATCAGTGTGTTTGGTTTGAGTTTTCTAGATTAAGTTTTTTGAAAACTGACTTTTTTTTATTTTCGTGTTTTTTTTTGTTTTTAGTGAATATCTTTTAAATTTTAAATTTTTTTTTTACTTTTTTAGATGCACCTTACTTAGATGTATCTAAAAAGTAAAAACTTTGTGAAAAAATATTTTAAAAAATTAATAAATACATAAAAATATAAAAAATGTACTGAATTCTTATATTTTTTTTGTATTTTTGATATTTAATGAATTTTTAAAAGATTTTTTTTACAATTTTTTTACTTTTTAAGTGTATTTATGTTAGATGTGTCTAGAAAATAAAAAAATTACTTAAAATATTAAAAAAAATCAAAAAAAATAAAAAAATCACGAAAAATGAAAAACTAGAATTTTTTGAAAAGTGTTTTGCGAAAAGTAGAAACAAGCAAATTCGCACATTTTAAATATGTAACACCATGCAAGTATCGGCACCGGCACTGCTGCAACTTAGGTGAGTGAGACACGTGGTAGCACAGCGTATTTTGGGATTGTGGTCTATATATAGAGCTGCTACCACAAATCGCTACATATGCACTTCACAAATCACAGTCAAATTTGAGAGAGAGAGAGAGAGAGAGAGAGATGGAAGTGATGCAAATACTTCACATGAACAAAGGGGAAGGAGAGACTAGCTATGCAAAGAATTCAACTGTCCAGGTTTGGTTCTTATATCATTGATCATTATATAGATAACACTTCCATTTCCATTGTATTTTGCAAGATCTTATTAGCTAACAGCCTATAACAACATTAGTTGAGTGAATTTCTCCGATCTACGCCAGGGATGGATCCAGAATTATCACTATGAGAGTGCGAAAGTATATTTAGGGATGCAAATCCTTATAATTTCAAATTATTTAAAAAATTTCAATATAATACTTTTTTCAAAAAAAAAATTGGAATCCATCATTGATCCACACTTTAGTATCATTTTCTCAGTTAATTATATTAAGGTTTCCTTCATTTTTGCATGTCGTTCAATGTGAACTCTTCATATAGATTTTTTTGTTAACTTTTTTGTATAAATTTTCTGCATGGATAGAATTATTAATTACTGAAAGAATTTTGATATACAAACAAAAAAATTCAATCCTTCCTCTTAAAAACATAATGTCTATCATTATGATCATTTTTTTTTTTTTAATCGGCATCTATCATTATGATCATGATTTCAAAAGAGATGGGAACTCAGAAATTTTTTACAAAAACTTACAATATAAATTCTAGATGCTATCATAACTTACAATTATGTCACTGCCTTGTCATTTTTATGAAAAAGTACTAATTTATAAGAATCTAGTATTTTCATTATAAAAATATCACATTTACATTATTCTCGTAAAAAATCTATAAGAATATAGTATTTTCCATTTGGTTTCCATCACAAGGAACTGATTCTCACCTATGGAAGTTGGAACCATTAAATTGATTTTAACCTTTTTTTTTTTTTTTTTTTTTGCAGAGGAAAATAATGTCATTTGCAAACTCAATAATTGAGGAAGCTGTAGTAGACATGTTATGCAGCAGCAACAACAACAACAACTTTTTCCCAGAGAGCATAGGCATTGCAGACCTGGGTTGCTCATCAGGACCCAACTCATTGGAAGTGATATCGGAGATTATAGATATAGTATACGCCACAAACCACCGTATGGGTCGACCATTACCGGAGTTGAGGGTGTCATTGAATGATCTTCCCGGGAACGACTTCAACTACTTATTTGAGTCGTTGCCGGAGTTCTACAGCAAGTTGAAGGAAGAGAAAGGTGGCTGTTTCGACCGCTGTTTTATATCGGGGATGCCGGGTTCTTTCTACGGCAGGCTGTATCCGAGCAAGAGTCTGCATTTTGTTCACTCCTCTTCTAGTCTCCATTGGCTCTCTCAGGTTACTTCACCACTTTTACCTCTCTTACAATTTTTTTTTTTTTTTTTTTTTGATCGATGAGAATGAAATAAGAGAAGGGGAAACTGTATCACGCAGGGAGATTAATTCAACAAATTTTGGTTTTTTTAATCTATATTTATAACATAGTTGCTTAATTTTTGTCCTCTATGTTTTAATTTATACTCTTATTTTTTTCAATATTTCAAATAAGTTTCTAGTTATAAATTGTTCCCTTTAAAGGTTTATTTTATGATATGTTGTAAATTCTAATTTTAAATATTTATTTTGTAATGCTTTCGATTTTATTATTGTTGGTAATTTTTTGGGGCAAATTGTAAAAAAAGTCTGAGAGTTTCTCATATTTTTCAATTTAAATTTCAGAATTTCAATTGTAACAATTAAAATCCTAATGTTACTTTTGTGTTTTAATTTATTCTCTCCGTCCATCTCCGTCTCATTCAGCTGACGAAATCTGGACAAAATTTTCAGATTCAAACTAATATGTTCAAATCATTATATCTCTCTCGTCGTAACTTTGTTTCGCCTCATTTTCAGGTCATGAGATTCATCTCATGCTGCGAAAATGAGACGAAGCGTAATTATAATGAGGGATATATAACGATTTGAATATGTAGATTTGAATCTAAAAATTTTATCCATATTCTCTTAACTGAATAAGACAGAGATGGAGGAAAAAGCTCGACTTTTTTTTATTATAATTTACCCTAATTTTTGGGCATAAGTATTTTAAGGCTTACTCGTTGTTTGTTGAAATTTCTCAATCACATACTTGAAAGAGGCAGGGGAGGGGACCGCCATTACAATCCAAGTCGACGTCATAATTATAAATAAAGGTTCAGTCCGTGAACCACAAGGGTGACAATGAAACACTATTGAATCCCAAAAAAAAAAAAAAAACTATCATAAGTAAGATGGGAAATTATCATAACCATAACATTTTGTTGGTTTAGGTTTCTCTCGTAGTGGAATCTCAACATAATAAAATTTGAGAGGCGTGTAAGGTCTAACACAAGTCTCATTTCAATAATTTGAATCATTCATTTTGTAAAGTTCACAATATATAGTATTTACAAAAAAAAAATTAGTTCAAACAAATAATTATAAAATTTTTATTTTATTGTATTTGTCTTCAAAAAAATAAATGACAAATATATATTTGAAATATACCATCTATTTTTTTAGAGATAAATGTGATAAAAATGAAAAGGTTACCATTATCAGATTATTCTAATTTTTTTCATAGATAATATAAATTGCGAGCTTTACAAAATGAACAATTCGAATTATCGAAATGAAACCCATATTGAATCGTACGGTCCTTCAAACATATTAAAATTCCAATATGAAAGAAGATCGAACCCATTTTGTTTTATTATTGTCATTTCTAAACAATAATAACATAGAGTGATTCGTATTTTAAACAAATTTAAAGAGTTGTATTTGTAATTTACCCTAAAAATTTTAAAATACTTATTCATGTATAAAATTTATATGAAATAAAGTAGAAAAATGATATAGCAATATTATTTTAGCAAATAAATATGATCTTAGTAAGTTTTTTTTTTTTTTAAATGAATGACTTATATTGAATCATATTATTATGTATAAATAAAAATGATGTATAAGCTTTTCTTTATATATCATTGCTCAATTTTTTTATTTTTTATTTTTTATTTTTTATTTTTTTGTCAAAATGCACTACTATTAAAGGCCAATGGCCAACCCAGACAGTTAAGAATGGATCTAGAATTCGAATTTTTGAGAAACAAAATCACTCATAACTTTTTATTTTTTAAAATTATTTTACTAATTACTAATATAATATAATTTTTACAAATTTTCGAGATATAACCGCCCCACATTCCCTAGATCCATCAGAGTCCCTTGGGAACCATGCAAAAATCTAAAGAAGAAATTGTTTTTCAAAAGAAAAATATTTAGGCATTTTAATTAAACATTCTTAATCTATTCCTAATTCCTAATAATATAAAATAAATCATATATAACGAGTGATTCACACTCTTATTCACTGTGTTTAGTTTGAGTTTTCTGAATTAAATTTTTTGAAAATTGAGTTTTTTGATTTTCGTGTTTTTTTGTTTTTAGTGAATATTTTTAAAATTTTAAACATTTTTTTACTTTTTTAGATGCACCTTACTTAGATGAGTCTAAAAAGTAAAAAAATTGTGAAAAAATATTTTAAAAAATTAAGAAATACATAAAATACAAAAAATGTACTAAATTTTTGTATTTTTTTTATATTTTTGATATTTAGTGAATTTTTAAAAGATTTTTTTTACAATTTTTTTAATTTTTAGGTGTATTTATGTTAGGTGTGTCTAAAAAGTAAAAAATTTGAATAAAATATTAAGAAAATTCAGTAAAAACAAAAAAACACAGAAAATAAGAATGTAAAATTTTCTGAAAACTGTTTTAAAAAATGGGAACCAAGCAAATTATCTCTCTCTATTTTCATCTCATTAAAAATAAAAATAAAAATAATATATTAAATAACGTCACACCACTCTTTTCAAAAATCTGGGTTGAGATGATGGGCAAGTTTTGCCAACCTAAGCCCCTACCAATTCAGAACCAACCAATAACTTCTACTAAGGTTGTTGGTTGTTGAAAAAATTAATGGAGTTGTGGTTTGGGAAGAACGGTTGACATTTAAATTTTTTTGACTAATTTAATTTGATTAAATTAATTTTATTTTATTAATTTATTTAATTTTTATACTTTTTTAATCCAGCTTACTAGCTAAATGGCAGCATAATATTACACTGAATTTTCTGTTATGAATAAACGTGCAACAGTCAATAAATAATTGACAATCTATTTTTAAAAGCAAATCATATTTTATTGCGTAAATAATTCAAAACTTTAGATATAAAATGGCACATACAGTATGTGCATACGTTTTTATTTATTTTTTTTTTTTTTTAAAGTTTATAATTAAAACTCTTTTACTACATATCAGATGTATTCTATTTTCTTTCTTTTCTTTTCTTTATTTTGTTGGTAGAGATTTTAATCTCTGATTGAATTGTTGAAACCAACCAATTTGTGTCCTTTTTACTAGTTTTAGGATTCTGCTAGTCTGCAACTGCAGGTTGCCGAAGTTGTTTTTATTATTTTATTACTTATTATTATTATGGCCGAAAATCATTAATTTGTCGTTAAATTAGATTTGAACCATCTCTTAACAAACACTTGAATCTTATCTCACATCTACTCTCAAGAATGAAATCCAATACCTATCTTTAGGAGAGACTTGATAGTGAAATAATTAACAATTTAGGCTACAACTCCTTGATTTTGCCAAAGTTGGCTTCACTTCATTCACAATCCATAGATGATGAAGGGATGAGATATCTTAACAAATGACTTCTCAAAAAAAAAAAAAAAAAAAACAAATGGGACCATTATTTTTTTTTGGGTGAATAATGGGACCATTATTAATTGTGGTGTGGCCCCTCAATGAGACTAAAGAGTACCATGGTGCGAGAAATTTGGATATATGTGGATTTGCACATAGGAATCTCTATTCCTCATCATCTCGTACTTCTTTGTCTTAATTATCTCTCCGTTTGTGCATTTTTTAACTTCGATATATGATAGGGATACGATTTAGAACAAAAGAGAAATAATATTTTCTATTTTGCTCTAGAAATAAGTCATGTCCTGTTTCAACTTAAAATTATTAGCTAAAATAGTAGGATCCGTCACATTTTTTATTTTTATTTTTTTTTGTGGAGACAACAAAACAAGTGTCTTTCCTTTGATAGTGTGCTCCAAAAACCATTAAATAGCTTCTTCAAAACAAAACAAAAAAAATGAGGAAAGAAAATAAGTTCTCAAGGATTTGAGAGTGTTTTCCAGAGAGTACAAATGTAATATCACAACAAAAGCCAATAGGAAAATGTTGAATAAATCGAATTTTCAAATAAAAATCTCATCCAAAATAGTGTGGAGAGACAACTTTGATATTTAAAGTTTTTTTTATTAAAAATATTTATAATAGGAAGAAAATTACATCGTGTAAATCATAGATTATTTGTCTAAATCTTCAAACTGTAATTTGAAATCCTTCGGAATGTTGGGCTCAAAGTTATCCAAAGCATAAAGGAATGCCATCCAAGTACAGGTAAACCCAACAAGTTTGAATATCTTAAGGTATAATTGTACGATTAAGAATGCATTAAGTACAAAAGAACAAAAAAAATTTAAATATAAAAGATTACATCTAATCAATCTGTCCAATGTCATTTGGTGTGTTTGGTTTTAATTTTTTGAAAATTGAATTTTTTATTTTTTATATATTTTTAAAATTTTAAATATTTTTTTTCTTTTTTAGATGCACCTTAATTAAATATATCTAAAAATTAAAATATTTTTAAAAATCAATAAATGCAAAAGAATATAAAAAATGTACTGAATTTTCGTAATTTTTTTTTGTATTTTTTGATATTTAGTAAAATTTTAAAGATTTTTTTCACAAATATTATACTTTTTAAGTGTATTATATTAGGTATATCTAAATATTAAAAAAAATTGCTTAGAATATTACAAAAATTTCTGTGAAAATAAAAAAATATAGAAAATAAAAAAATTTAATTTTTAAAAAAGGAAATTCTAAAAATTCAAACCAAACAAGTTGATGGCTTTTTTATGGACAAAAAGTACATATGCAAATGTAAAAAAGCAAAATTATTAATTAGGTTTTGTTGGGGGAATATACTATTTTAATAATTTTTTGAATTTTTATGAATAGATATATTAAAACAAGAAAAGAAATAATGTAATAATTTATAATAATTTTTTAATTAAAATATATAATTGACAAACGAATCTTAATATTACGAGATACCATGTATATATTTGCTAGGAGAAGGCATACATTCAGATGCCTATGCACCCCACAACAGCTTGTGTTTTATGCTTTACCTACGCACTTCAATTATTCATTAATAATTTCGTACCATCATTTAATATTCACCTAATCAATGGGTAGTTAGGACCTAAGGAACGATTCACTATGTTTTGTAATTTTTTATTTATGGAGAAAATCGTGTATACTTCAAGATTACTTATAAGTTTGGAAAATGTTATAAACTTAAATAAATTATTAAATTTTTTATTAAACCTTTCATATGGGTGTGTGTGTGGATCTCACACTCATATGAGAGATTTGATAAAAAAATTGATAATTTATTTGGAATCCTTAACATAACTCTATAAGTTTTCATGAAGATAACGTTGTGCATTTTGAAAACGTAGTTTAATATTAAAAACTAATTTAGTAGATAAAATATACTTTACTATGTATAACTTTTGGATTTGCATGTTATTTGTTGTGTGATGCTACTTTCCGCTCCTCCTAATTTTAAAAAATAAAAACTTAAATGTATGGTGAAAAATTTAAATTTCTCGAGTTACAACTAAAATAAACCTAATTTATACATTTTATTTTAAAAGTACTTTTTTTCTTCTCCTTGTATAATATTAGGAAGTATAAAATGTCATCCTACAAAGCTTAGAAATAATGTAGAATTTCACTAAATAAATATATTGAAAATGATACAAAGACAACGAGTCTAGCCTATAATCATTAATGTGGGTAACACATGTTTATGAGTTGATTTTTCATTTGTTCTGAAACATCATATAACATTGTTTACGTGATGATTTAAAAATTATTGATTTATTTTTGTTAAGTAGATAAGAGATAAATGACAATTCACTTTTATTAGTCAATGTTGTGGCTTCTCATGGGTGGGAATACCTACAATGTCACACGAGTAAAAAAATTCAAACTTCTGTTTATTAATTAGAAATTTTGAAGAAAAAAAAAATCAATTTTTGTATGGAATTACTCTAACAGGTTCCACCAAGTCTGAAGAGCAAGGTTAGCACACACCTAAACAAAGGAAAGATTTACATATCAAAGACGAGCCCGAAATGCGTATTGGAGGGTTACTCATCGCAGTTTCAGAATGATTTCTCCAAGTTTTTAGAGTCTCGTTCCGAAGAAATGGTTGGGGGAGGACGCATGGTGTTGTCATTCATGGGAAGGAGATGTGCAGACCCTTGTACTGAAGAGAGTTGCTACCACTGGGAACTCTTAGCTCAAGCTTTAATGTCCATGGCTTCTCAGGTACCCGCTTTTCTAAGCTTTACTTACCAATGTTTTGATTAATAATAATGTTTGAAAAAATAAAAATAAATAATTATGTACACAAAAAGAGTACCTACCTACCAAGAAAACAAAATGTATTTCTAGAAATTTATTCATATTAAAGTAATATTTGATCTAGATTCATTGTAGGAGTCAATTCCACTCTACAAGAATTGAATCTAAATACACATTTTAAACTAGAATCCTAAATACGTAATTTTATATGTATCAACATTTTTTGTTGGACATTTCTCTTCAATGATAAAGTGATAATCGTTTTGAATGTGTAACTTAAAATAAATAAAAAAAATTGTATTTTAATGTAATTTTGTTTGCTTTTTATGTCATTTGTTGACGTATATAGATACAATAAAATCATTTTAACGTAGTCACAATGAGAGACGATCCAAGATGCATTAAAAAAATTATATTAAAAAATTTATGTTGAACAATTGAGTCCCACTTGATACTAAAAATATAAGTACCATCTAGCTTAAAAGTAAAAGAAAAATAAAAATAAAACACAAAGAAAGTGTGTAAGAAGATAAAAACAAACAAATGCAGGATTCATTGTATTTGTATGTATGTGTACATTTCTAAATATTTTTCCAGATATATAGAATTACTTATAAAAAATCAAAATGTTATTCAAATTCACAACATTGATATTTTTGTCCAAAATAATTTTTTTAAGAGTTATGCTAGGGACCCCAAACAAATTACCAAATTTTCTACCAAATCTCTTACATGGGTGTGGGACCCACACACATTTGATTTGTGTGGATCTCACACCCATGTGAGAGGTTTGGTAAAAAATTTGGTAATTTGTTTGGGATCCATAGCATTTTCCTTTTTTTAATCACTGTATTTAATTCACTCTTTACATAATAAATGATATATGTATGTGAGATCCATCACATTTAAAAGTTGGTAGAACCTACCATTTCACATTAGAAGTGATATAGTAAGTAAAAAAATTTAATAAAATATTTAGGTGATGTTTAACATATTCTTTTGTCCACAATTTATTTTTTATTTTTTATTTTTTATTTTTTGCAGGGCCTAGTTGAAGAGGAAAAGCTCGATTCCTTCAATGCCCCCTACTATGCTCCATGCCCAGAAGAATTAAAGGCAGTGGTCCAAGCAGAAGGCTCATTCATCATAGATCGTTTGGAGGCCTTTGAAATTGATTGGGATGGTGGTCAAGTCTCAAGCAATTCTTCTTCTGTAGCCCAAGACCAGAAGACCGGGTTCGAACCAATGCTGTCAAGTGGGCAGAGAGTGGCTAAGACCATTCGAGCCGTGGTTGAGTCCATGCTGGCATCTCATTTTGGAAGATCAATCATGGATGAATTGTTTAGGAGATACAGTGAGATTGTGGATGATCACTTGTCCAGAAACAGAACCAAGTACATTGATTTGGTTGTTTCCTTCACAAGAAAGCCCTAATCAATGAAATCAAAACGATTGAACACAACACAGAAATCAGGCACAAAAAATAATTGGATGTCTTTTCTGTGTTCAATTCTATATTTGTTTCGTATGTTTCTAGATAAACTTTTTTTGTTTTTTTTTTGTTTTAGAAGTAAAATTATAAATAAATGAACTTACGTAGTTGTGTTTATGATAAGAAAATCAAGTAATCTGCGTGCAACATTTCTTTTCTTCTTTTTTTTTTTCTTTATGATTTAAAATTAGTGCTTTTCTTTTAGAATAAAATAATGGTGTATATTTGTAGTGATCACTGTGCAGCTACTTGTTAGACAAAAAGAGTTGAAGAGCATAAATAAAAGGTCGCTCACGCCAGCTGTTGAATTATTAAATAAAAAAAATAGTGGTGTTACATATATCAATTAATGTACTAACTAGTGTATCAATACTAGTTATGACACCATTATTAACCCCACTTATTATATAATACAAATTATAAATATCAAAAATATCTTAAAATATGCTACATGATCATCAATTGTTTGTCTAGCCAAGTGTGACTGTCATTGGAGTTTGGATATCTATGAGCCCATTTGCATATTGATACTTGGTGATGCTGACGATAAGCCACACTTAAAAATTAAAAAATTAAAAAAAAAAATATGATTTGTGATTCATGTAATTATTTAGTAATCTCAAATCATCATGTGACAAAAAAAATTTTAGTGTTTTTAATCAATTACGGAATGAAAAATTTTACAAGTAAAATATGCTAAATCACTTTTGTTTAAGTAATTAAAAATAAAAAATAATTTATTTAATGTGTACTGTAATTTTTTATTTATCAAAAATATGATAAAAACAATGTCATATTTAAGCAATATCTAATAATTTTGGTCCGGTGGAATCAGTATGATTGAATCAGTATAACTTATAAGAGGGCACTGAGATTGAAAGTGGAAACACGAATGAATGTAATGCATGACCTCAAAGCCTGTCGGCCAGCGAAAACACACTCCACTCTGATCCTCTACTAACCGTACACGTGGCCCTCCTATTCACTGCACAATGCTGAGATGTTGGAGTGTTCATCATGATCTTAGCAATTCTTGATATTTATATTTAGATTTAAATAAATGTATGTATGTATGTTCTATGATACATTGCATTCAGCCAAGAGCAAGAGTTTTGAACAACCAAAAAAATGCGGCAGCTGGTTCTGCTTCAAGATTCATCAACATGGCTTAGTAGTTGTTTTTACACAATGATCTATGCAATCTTGTTATGGTTGATATTTCAAATAATAGCAAAGATCTTCTTATGGCATAGTACTAGTCCTCCAGAATCAACGGTTCAGATTCCACCAGGCAATCGAGGATTGCCATTGATAGGAGAAACCTTGCAGTTTATGGCTGCCATCAATAGTAGCAAGGGCTTCTATGACTTTGTAGAGGTTCGCAGACTTAGGTAATGAGTTCCATTTATTTTCTTTTAGGTTCGTGTTCAAACTTTTCAAATCTTTGATCAACTAGATCATTTTGTTAGAACTCGACTTGAGCTCGAGTTCGACTTAGCTCATTTGTAACTCATTTTTTTTTTTTTTTAAATTTGATTCATATATAAGATATTATAATAAAACTCAATTAATTACAATCTTAGTAATGGAAATCAAATACAACATATAATCAATATGAAAAGAAACTCCTAAAGTAGGAATAAGACACACACAAGTGCAAAGATTCGAACCACTAATCTCCTAGCGAGAGATGTATGAATTATAACCTATAATTTATAGTCCAAACCTTAAAAGATCAAATTAGAGCACTATAATTGCTGGTTTAGCTCACTTTACCAAAATTTTGAACACCTGGCCCACTCCACCAAAATTAATCAAAAAATATCTTACTTTATAGAATTAATAATAAAATATTATCCAAAGATTTAAAAATATGAAAATTTGTAGAGAACAATTGTAAAAGTCAATGTATTTATAAATATTTTTGTCAAAATAATTATTAATAATTTAATAATATAGATGAAAAACATTACTAGATGTGATTTATTTTCTACAGAACTTGTAATTGTAAAATTTTAAAATAAAAAATTCTAGAGTTGACGCCACTGAGTGATACTGAATTTTGTTTGTAGCAGGTATGGGAAGTGCTTCAAAACCAATATATTTGGAGAGACACATGTATTTGTTTCGAGCACTGAATCAGCAAAGACAATACTAAACAATGAATTGGGAAGATTCACCAAGAGATACATAAGGTCGGTTGCAGAGGTAGTTGGAGATCAAAGTTTGCTCTGTGCTCCCCAACAACAACACAAGTTCATCCGCAACCGCCTTTCCAATTTGTTCTCTAAAAGTTCTCTCACGCATTTTGTCAAACAGTTTGATCAACTAATTATAAATCAACTTACTAGCTGGGAACGTCAAGGCACTGTAGTGGTACTGGACCAAGCCCTCAAGGTAGATTAAATAAACAAAAAAGGAGGCTTTCTTTGAGCCCCAAACATATATATATATATATATATATATTTTGAAATGCAACCCAAATAAAAATTCAAATCATTTCTACCTTAGTTTCGCATCCGAAGTAAATAAAGCATAACAAAAATAACTACATGCTCACCAAAGGTATGATCTTCACGCAAAACCACGGGTACTACTTTTCTTCCTAGCTGTGTTTGTAACTTTCCCTATTCTCCAACAGGGTGACAGACTAGGTTGATTCGGTATCTAGAATTGAGGCGCTGAAAGCTAACTCGACCTATGGGGCTGCCATACAGAGTTCAAGCCGGGGTGGTTTTGAAGTAATCTCCATATCCCTAGGTATTCAAACCAGACTTTAGTCTCGGAAATTCCAAACCTTTGCATTCTAGGCTTTGCCATTCGAACTCTAGTTTCCACCGTCTAAGTTGGTCTCATAGGAACTCACTATAAACACAGTTAGGTGGCTATACCAAATCGTCAGATGTCGTTCGGGTACGGCTAACACCATGGGAATTACACCTTTAAAGGATTTAAAGTCTCCTAGACGTAAATAAAGCACAACAAGAATAAAGAAAAATATAATAGAATAGAAGGGAAAGAAAAGAGAACAAGACATCAATCTCTCAATGATAGTAAAAAGGATCCATCAAAGCAATGGACTCAATCATATCCCCATTCCTAATCCCCTCTATATATGGCTTCAGTCTTTGGCCATTCACTTTGAAAGTGTGGCCATTCTTTGGATCTTGCACCTCAACAACACCATGAATAAATGCCTCAACAACCACTAAGGGACCATCCCATCTTGATCTAAGCTTACCCGGAAAGAGTCCCAATTTTGAGTTAAAAAGCCACACTTTTTGGCCGGGTTCAAAGGATTTTCTATTAATGTGCTTGTCGTGGAATTCCTTAGTTCGAGCTTTAAAAATTCTCGAACTCTCATATGCATCATTCCAAATTTTCTCTAACTCATTGAGCTACAATTTTCGGTTGAGCACAGCCGCGGTCATATCGAAGTTAAACTTTTTTATAGCCCACAATGCTCGGTGCATCCACCACCCACCTGCCACCGTCACCCACCACCACCATCTACCGTCACCACTTTTCACCACCGTCTTCCGCCACCACTTGCCACCACTTGCTATTTCTCACTCTTTTTATATTTTTAAATTTTTTTAAACATTTTGTCAATTACCAAACACCTTTGTAGTTTATGTTTTTCTAAAAATAAACAAAAAATAAACAAAAACCAGTTTATAAAATTTTTGTAAATATAAACTGAAAACGTAAACGTTACTAAACACATTATTGATTCTAGTTTTGAAAAAATTATTTTAGACTGTTTGGTTAAACTTATTTTAAACAGTTTCTAATTCTAATAATTTATTTTAACTCAAAAAGGTTAATTCTGATAAGCTGCTTACCCCTTACTTCTGATTATCAGCTTTTACTATGGACATATTAATTTAAGGTGATACTCTTAGATTTTTTTTATTTTAAAAAAAAAAAATAGAAAAAGACCCAAATAGACTATGAATTATTATTATTATTATTATTATTATTATTATTATTATTATTATTACTATTATTTATGAGAAATGTAGACAAGTAGTGAATAGATTAAAGTCATAATTTATAATCTGTTAAATTATAATCTATAATATGTTTTAAAAACTATACCTATCCCTCCCTTTTCCCGAATATATTTGTTATTATTTTTTGTATATTTATTATAGGTATACATTATACAATATTTATTAAGATTTTTTTTTTAAACACTTGTATCCCATTTAATCCATAACATATTCTTGTATTTTAATAAGTCTTATAATTTGGACATTTGATCTACTAAATTCTAATTCTCATATTTAAGGTATTATATGGATAATTTTATCCTTAAAAATATTTTTAAAACACTTGGCAATTTGGTAATGTGAATATTTATATATTACAGTATGAATATTCATATTACAGAACATTTATACTGTTAATGTGAGTATTATTATTTAATTATGTCACCCATAAGATTTATTAGGATATAAAAAAATAATTTAGATTAAGTGAAATATAAGTAGGTGAATAAAGATTTATGAATAAATGTCCATTTTTTAAATATAGTCACCCTATTTAGGTTTTAGTTTTTAAATATGATTTTTAAGTTTTGATTTTTTAATTTTTTGTGTTTTTATATGCATTAAAAAGTAAAATATTTATAATTTTTTTTTACAAAAATTCAATAAACTAAAAAAAAAAATGTATTGAATTTTTATATTTTGTATTTAGTAAAATTCACAAATATTTAACCTTTAGATACATCTAAAAAGAAAATAGATCTGATTAAATAAAAAAATATTACACTTAATACTCATTTTTAATTTTTTTAGACTAATTTTACACTTATCACATTTTTATACTACATTTAGTATATCATCTTATGTGTTAACACTTGCGTTGGAGATGAAATGAGTGATGTGACCTATTACACCACACTAATGATGTGATGACAGATGAGGTCGTATTCTAAAAGTGGTATAACAAGGTGGTAAGTGTAGCATTACACTTTTTTTTTTACATATTTTAGTTTTCATAATTTATCAATTATTATCGCCAATATTTTATTATTTATTTATTTATTTTTGGCACCCTTATACTTGTTGGTGAAACCCATCATAATTAGTTTATTAAAAACTGTTATAATTAATTTGATTCCATTTTGTCAAGCTAAATGTGTTTGTGGTTTTGAATTTTTGTATGGTGTAAGTTTACCTTTGAGGCAATGTGCAAGATGTTGATGAGTTTGGAGGGAGAAGAAGAAGTAGAAATGTTGGGAAAAGATGTTGGTCTGGTTTGTAAGGCTATGCTAGCGTTCCCATTGAGGTTACCTTGGACTAGATTCCATAGAGGCCTCCAGGTAAATAAAAGCCCATCAATTCATCCATGCAGTCCTTATCTAATGGGCTTTCAAGCCCCAACTAAAAATACATGTACATGGTGATTAAAATATTCATTGTGTTATTTTGTTTTTGTTTTTTAAACTATTTTTTTAATTCCACCATTAAAAAGTTTTCAATTTCACCAAAAAAAAAAAACCAATTTCAGATGGTCATCTAAACTTATTAATTGAATAGTAATAAAATACTCCTATGATCTTTAAAGTACTAGTTTTGTGTTAATTTAATCTCCAAAGTTTTAAACCACCCATGTTTTTGCCTTTTATATCACAATATTTTGAAGAAAAAAATAAATTATAAAAATAAGGCCAAGTTTGGGTACTTCCAAAAAAGTCAAAAAGCCAAAAAGTTACTCAAAAAATTAAAAAGTTAACACTATTCACCAAAAGTCAACAATTACGGCTGCACAACTCCCAATTTAAATTTTTCCCTACAAACTAATTTTTACAATTTTTTATTACACATTTTTCAATAAAAAGTCAAAAAGTTAACCCAAACATCCATATTTTCAACCTTAATTTTTTAGTCCAAAAAGTGCACTTTTTTAATCTTCCCAAACTTGGCCTAAATTTTAGGGACAAAGTAGGGTTTATTGGCCTTTTCTTACATGGGCCCAGCCCAAAACTGCCAAAGAGAACTAGACAAATAGGTAGTGCCCATATTAATGGGCTGGATTTATTTATTTGCCCTTCCATTTTCTTTATTGTTGGGTGATTTTGAAGAAATTAGGACTCATGCATGGAGAGAACAAATAAATGAAACTTGGTTTCAGTGAATATATGATGAAATAAGAAAGAAAATGATGAATCAGGCAAGAGAAAGAATCATGGGCACACTGGATAAGATGATTAGTCAAAGAAGAAGAAACTTAGAAGAAGTAAATCATGATGATTTCCTCCAACACCTTCTCATGGAAGATGATGATAAAGCATATGATGATGAAGCCCAATCCCCATCACCATCACTATCTGATTTAGAGATTAAGGACAACATCTTAACCATGATTATTGCAGGTTAACTCTTAATTCATTTTTTTACACCCCCCTAATTAGCTGCCACTCCCATGTTATATTACTAGTAATTTGCTTATGACAACAACACCCCTGCATATGCTCATGCAGGTCAGGACACAACTGCTAGCGCAATTACATGGATGGTCAAGTATTTGGATGAAAATCAAGACGTCCTTCGCATACTTGAGGTAGTTACCACAATGAAGACATAGTTTTATGAAAACCAAAACTCATGGTTTGTTTATTGAACAGGCTGAGCAACTGTCCTTGGCAAAAAAATCTTCATCCGAGTCATTCCTTACGCTAGATGATCTTAATTACATGCCATACGCTTCTAAGGTATATATCCAAACAATGAATTTGAGATATGCTTGGTTTCGTGACAGAAGTCTAGTGTTGGGCATAGGCCCTGTTTGGTAGAGCTGTGAGAAAGTGCTTATACCTTGTACCTTAACAGTTTATAACTTATAATTATGAACACAAGTTGATTTTTGACTTATAAATTAAGCTTCTCCTCCCCCATTCAAAAAATAAGTTGATTTCTGACTTACAAAAAGTTATAAGCTGTATTGTTAAGCTAAACAAAACACATCAAAATAGCTTAAATTAAGCTGAAAGCTGAAATAAGCTGAAATTAAGCTGTACCAAACAGGACCATAGAATAGACTATGAGTGAAACATATTTAGTGGATTCATTTATAAATAAATAAATAAATAAATAAATAGTTACAAACAGATTGTTAAAGAATCGTTGAGGATGGCATCTGTAGTACCATGGCTCCCAAGATTAGCACTGCAGGACTGTGAGATTCATGGTTTGTTTTCTAATTAAACTCACATGATTGATAAAATTTACCTTACTTAAAATTTTCCCTGGAGTTCCAACTGTCTTTTGTGTGGGTGGGTGTGTCTCTGTCTGTTTTCAATTTTATTGTAGGATATAAGATCAAGAAAGGGTGGAACATTAATATTGATGCCAGATCAGTACACCTTGATCCTTCAGTTTACAATGATCCTAGCAAGTTCATTCCATCCAGGTTTGATGTAAGTTTTTTTTCATGCAATTGTTTTTTTATTTTTTTTAATATTTATTATTACTGTATAAATATTTTTAAAAATGTTTTGATTATCTAATATTAACAGGATGAATCGAAACCATATAGCTTCTTAGCATTTGGACAAGGAGGGAGGACATGTTTGGGGATGAATTTGGCTAGGGCTATGATGCTAGTTTTTCTCCACCGTCTTGTCACCACTTACAAGTGAGTTCTACATAATTGTCTGGCAATTGATATTAAAATCTGTGAAGAACAAAGAAAAATAAACTATATAGTAAGTAATTAACCAGCAAAACCATGACTTTGATGTGATCAGGTGGAAGGTGATTGACTCGGATTCAAGCATTGAGAAGTGGGCACTTTTCTCAAGATTAAAAAGCGGTTGCCCTATACACGTTATGCGTATTAAGTAGCTATAGAGTATATTATTACTCAAATTAATGGACATTGCATATATATATATATATATAATAAAACTATAATTAGTGAGAGGTTTTACCAATCATATGAATTAGTAGTTGTTTGGGATGTACTATATAAGTGCATTTTTTTGACTTTTTGGTTAAAAAAGTAGAGAAAAAAATATGCATGTTTGAGATAACCTTTTGACTGTTTATAAAAAGATGTATAATAAAATATTATAATAAAATCAAAATGACAATTTTATCCTTTTCACTTTTAACATTTTGACTTTTTGGATAGTTAAATTCAAAAGGCAAAATAATAATTTTGTCCTAATGACTTCCCCACCCGCTACTCTTAAATAATATAGATTTTTTAACTTTTTTAATAATTTTTTGATTTTTTTAATTTATCCCAAACAAGTTTGTATAAACGATATTTTATACCACATATGTATATATATTTGATGATTTAGTCAGTATTCGGGTTAGTTTGTGTAGGTAATATCTGGTACATGTCATTAAATTTGGAATGTATTAAAAGCATATGCATTGCCATATAAAGCCTCCACTGAATTTAAATTTCCCCTGTAACATTCAACCATAATAAAAATGTGTTAATAGCACTAAAAAAGTATGATGACCCGGCAGTTGGCCGTCTTAGAGAACAACCAAACAAAGCGACAAAATTTCTTGATTAAATATTCAATGCAATTAATGAATTAAATTTGTTCTCATTATGACTATTTTTTTAATCATTTTATTTGTAATGAACTCACTATATATACAGTAATGCTACATACTCCAGTGGAGGTGGCCCCAGTGACCTCTCAGTGACACGTGTTGGCCTATCATTGGCTGAAAACAAAATAAAAAAAATAAAAAATAAAAAAATTTTAGACCAATGGGAAGGGACTCCCAGCACCCCACTGGGGGTCCGAAACTTTATCCCGATACATATCCGTGGGAGGTAAGAAAAAATATGGTGCATCAAGAAAAGATGGGGTCAATGTTGCCAAGAAGAAGAGACGAGTGCCCAAAGGGTAAAATATATACAATAGTATTGATAATTATTTTTTAAAAAAATTTAATCAAATAAAAAATTACACCAAAACCACCGTACGAAAAATTACTTAAAAAAACCTAGACACCAAATATATAAGTTGCCCAAGCAACATGTGTATGCTCTCTAGCTTTACAGTGGAGATTACTGGTTCCAAATCGATGGGTAGGGATGAGAATGAGTTTGTGTTTTTAGGAATTTGAGTGTGTAAGAAAAATACCATAACAGAAATAAATAAATTCGAACATATTTTTTACATTCAAATCAAATCCATAAATTATGTGAGTGAATCATGTGGCTCTATTGATCTCTTCAAACAATTTCTAGTAATAGAATAGAACTATTAGAGAACTACTCACATTTTTTACAGTACAAATGTTATTCTGTGTTTCTATAGAGAAAGACAGAAAAGAAAGTCTAGGATAGAGATTGAAACATATATTGATTACACATACGTACTCTTCCAAAAATATAATGCGCATATTATGTGGGAAAATTATAACCACCTACAACTCTATCTCCTTAAGAGATGAGATAGTGGGTCACATGCTCTTATCCCCATGATAAGTTGATTCAAATGAATCTCTCATAATAGGGTCTCTCACTAGGTCATGAGTCATACCACCATGAGTGACTCAATCGGATATGGGTTCTAAACCCAATCCAATTTCTAACATTTCCCACTTGAACATGCGTTGACATGACACCGCGCTTCTTTTATCTCAATCTATCTATCAAATACAATCATACTAGCCAATAGATCGTGCGACCGCTGAGAACACCTACATATGGGAGCTCTATATTAGAAACTTAAAAGAACCAGTATAGAGACATCAACTCGAAAATAAAAATAGTGTCTCATATACCCCGTCTCATTCAATTACACCAGTCCAAAAACATCTCTAATCCCTCAAAAGAGCATGCTTGACCCTTTCAAATGTTGCAATATATTCGCACTCGATCCACCTCTCATATAGAGCGATGTGAGTTGCTGGCAATGAATATGCAATAGAGGTGTAATACTAAATGATCTTCATTTCGCCTTCATGCCATTTAGTTTAGGATTGACCGCTTTTCCAATGATGTCTCTTAAGGCTGAATCATACATGACGGCAAATAACATACCAAAGTAGAAGAACATCAGCACTTACCTTATAACGTAGTCAAAGGTCACAAAGGGTTCAAAAGTAAAAGTCATATCAATAATGACATGTAAGACTCATATGGTAAGGATCGGTCACCAAGCACATGTAATATGAATACATGCTACGGTGGAGTAACTCTTCCAAAGAGTGGCGTCATACTCGATACACCGTACAGATCTTATTCTAGTTGCTCTTAAGTGGACGAGTCGCTTTCTAGTGCCTAACCTGAATTCTCTATTTGTTTGCATTCTAAACGCCAAATGAGATCTCGCATCTAGCTAATCATAACAGGCAGATTATGGAAAATGGGTACTAACATCCATGTTTGGTCTTTAACACGATCTCATCTTGGCTGCAACCAAGACAACATACATAGCAAATAATTTTAAGCCTCTCTTGGCTCTAAATAAAATAATTCACTAGTCTTGTTATCCTTACTCGCTCCTAAGCGCCAAGGACGCTTACTTGTGTAAGTGAGTCAATCTTGCCTGCTGACATCATTATCTACCAATTATTATGACACAAACCATAATAATATCAATATCTCATAATCTCACAAAAACAAGCGATCAATTGAAAAACACAACCACATGTTACGCAATTCTAGTTTCCAAATATATGCCATGTCAGCACCTTTTGCGATAAGCATACACAACAGATTCCACCATGTTCACTTCACATAAAGTGGGTCAAGATCATTAGCTCTTTGAGCAATTACCTCTCTAAAGATATTTTGGTAACCAATTTGCGTTCATCCAGGGTGTGCCCGGCTAGTGCATTGAATCTTACAATGACCAAATTTATACACTATTAGTACAGTATCATATCCACAGTATAATGAGTAAGGTCAATGTTTAAACTACTCAATTGGCCATTTACAAAAGATAACACTCATCATGTCGAATACGCCCACATAGTGTACAACAAAAGATCAAGGAATATAGGTCATTTGTTTTTTTCCAGAAACAATCTAAGGATTCACTCAATAATTGATACTCTAGCTTTTGCAGATAGGTAAGTCAATGGGTTTGCGATTTCGCATCTAGAATCATTCTAGGAAATTCCTTACATAAGTCATCAAAGACGAACTAAGAATTATCCCAGAACAATCCCTAAGGATCGTACATTCGAGCATATAAATTACATCACCCATGTTCATCATTGCTAAAATAGAGGACTACCAATCCTAGGTGACGACAACCTTATAAATTCCCGGCTTATAATGACTAAGTAACGAAAAACTTCTTTTAGACCATTAATCATGCCTCAGTGGTCTTCATCGATCATTGTTGGCCCATCATGGCTTGATTAAATCTAAGAACAACTGATTGGATAACTATTTTAGGTCGTAAAAGATTTATTGGAACTAACAATCCTTTGTGGCCCTAACTTTTCGCCATAAAAGCAAAAGATAAATTCCTACAGATCTACTTATCTAATTCTCCAATGAAAAGTTGGGTCACAATATCCACAAAGTAAAGTTTCAAACTCATGTCAATCATAGCCTAAGTCGAAGTAACCTCACTCCCTAAGAGGAAGTCTTTTCATAGTCAACACCTTTCTCAATGGTGCGAATTTTTGGTATCTAGTGAGCCCTCTGTCTAAAAAAATGACTATCCAAATCGTGTATAACTTTAGAACAATTTCGCGTCATAAATCCTCAAAGATTTCGTCTTAAAATACGCAACATTGATCCACTTTCTAAAGACTAGGGACTAGAGAGCCTTTGACACTATCCTAGGCTCTTTATTATTTTACGAAGCAATAATGAATGTTTCCTTCTCAATCACCCAATGATGACGCGGAAATTTTTCACATTCGCTATCACGTAACTAAAAATTTAGAGTATTCTTCTCTAATGGAGTGATCCACTAGGCACGTCGTTCCCACTATCCTTAGGATATTAGAAATTTCTTTCCATTCTCAACTAGGCTACATAGAGCACCATGCTTAGAATTCTCTATCATATAGAGTTCCAAAACTCTATTTACATTACCTATGCTAAGAAAACTTTATGTGACTAAATACAGATGCACTTTTGCGGCTTTCTAAGTTACTTGTGTCCAGCCATTGTGAACAAAGTTGCACATTCACATGAGAACAAGATGCCGCAAGGGAGTGGGTCAAAGAGGGCCTACTCAAACCATCTATGTCATATTCTCGTCAATGTGATTAAGTACAATGGGCCACCGGTTCATGACTAATGTTATAAACTAATTCTAATCATCCTAATGTGTGAGTTCTCGAAGACAAGTGTAAAGGCTTAGGTCCAACTAGACAATGACTCATGACTAACTTACATTCACTAGATTATAAAAAAATGTCATGGAGATATCGAGTGCGCTTAAGTTGCAAATTTAACTAGTAAGTGCTAATCTCCTGTACCTTCAAGTCAATTTTATTCTCCATACACTTTTCTGCATCAAGTTGAAACATGACGATACTCCTTTTGCCATCTCAATTTCTCACTTCATAGTTAGTTGCTCCTAATTTTACTATCAATTATAAGGAGAAAATAGGCTACTAACCTATGATTTTTTTTGAAGCAACTTAAGCGCAAATTAGGCTAAAGAGTCTAATTCAACACAATGCTCTCACGAGTGATACGTCAAATTCTTAGAGTCATAAATTATTATGCTGTAACTTTTGCGCTTATAGATAAATGTCATTTAAAGGCGTTAGCCTAGCTAAAGAATCACACAAAGAAGCACCTCCTTATGTCTTATACTCAAATGTGGAAACAGTAAGTGTCCAGACTTAGACAAGTAGACAGTGTTAATAGATTTTGTAACCACTAGGCGCTAATCTTTTCAGTTAGTGTCAATAGATTTTGCAACTTCTAAGTGTTAATCTTTTAATTTTAAGTGACACTTCAGCACACACAATCATAGTGCATGAAATTTTGTTCCATTCACTCACATCAGTTGAGTAGAGTGCAAAACACTACTCATACTGGCTACTCATCTTACACTTAATGACTAACTCATTTAAGCTCGCATTTCTTGGATGGCGTGACTTTTAGAT